TATATATATATATATGTATATATAAGCTAATGCAAGGGCACACTTTTAAGAGCAAATTTTTGATTATGTTTGCATAGCATTGAAACAGCGTGTGCCAAATCAATTCTTAAAAAATTATTTTTGCTTTTTTTTGGCCTATTTTGGCGGTTGAAATTCTCAATGTGGGGACAACTAACATTCTTTCCGTCTTCGGCAAGACAAGAATCTGTTTCAGAAGTTCTTTGTTCAATGACAAAAACTAAATTTCGATTTTTGACTTGTCTATTAAATGATATGCAATGAAAAAATCATTGGCAGTGTTTTCAGAGTCATCAGTATCATCGGATTTGTTCATTGTCTTTTTTCCAATTATTTTTGCTTTTGCATTATATCAAGATGATGGTTTTCCCAACTAATAATGAATATATATTCACATTTTCTCTTGTTAACGTATGGCCCAGTTTCTTCAACAAATTTTCTCAGCTCTAATACATATCGGAAAATAACTCAAATAAATGGACAAAGAACAAAAGCTCTGCTTTCAGGCTTTTTACGTAATAAGTTCTAGATTCTAGAAACTTTTAGAGACCCAAAGAACTAATCGAGGACCAGCTAAAAGCAGTTGTTGATATGCTGCACAAAATGTCGTCTCGTTTGAAACTACCTAAACTCACGTGTCTGCGCAAAGCGATGTGTTGCTATTTTTAGCACTCGGCAACGCTGACTTCACATCACAACATGATAGGCTTACACAAAATTGCACAGCGCAAGGTTCATGTTAATTTAGCGGGTGTTTAGAATTATTACAACATTATTATTGTCTAAAACACAAGATAGGAATGTTAGAATGGCATTATTATTTATCTGCTGTTGCAAATAAGCCGTGGTTTGTGAACTCAAGAAAGTTTGATCAAAATTATAAATTAAAATTAAAATTAATGGGGAAAGTTCTGTAGTTGGTTCGGCTGTCTTCAAAGAACAACGTGCGCAGCAGTCTTGTCTCATAATATGGTCGCTTTTAGGGGGCTATACCGAAAAATGCTGTTTTGAGACAATCAAAGGTAAAGTTTTTGTCCCTTGTTCAGTTTCACTTTTAAAAAACAAGGAGAGTTTTCTCTATAACCAAACAAATATACACACCAATGAAACCAATCTAGAGCATAGGTAGGGCACAAATATGCCAACTTTTGGTGTAGGTCAAGGTTCTGGAAACCCCCGAAATCTGGGTTAGCCCGCTGAATACACGAATTAATGCATTAAAAATAGATAGATAGAAAGATAACATATATATTGAACCGATAATAAATGGGCCTAATGACTAATGGATATTACCGTATTATTATATTATTATAATAATAATAAAAGTAAATGCTAATCAAATGATAATTATAAAGTAAATGAAACAATGATTATAATGATTGATAAATAAGTAAATTTGAAAATTAATGCTTTGCTCGTAGGCCTATTACACATATCATGATATTATAATACAGTCGAACCATAATATACATTTGGGCTACATAATATTATACATGTACATATATATATATATATATATATATATATATATATATATATATATATATATACATGTGTGTGTGTGTGTGTGTGTGTGTGTGTGTGTGTGTGTGAGGCGTGCTGACAAAATGAGTTACTTCTCGCAATCCAAGAATTGGGATATCGGCAGCAAATAGACACATAAACTTGTAGATTTTAAACAGGTGTCATGTTCTTCAGTTTAAAATGTCTTTTTATCCTTTCATATGACAAATTGTACAAACTCATCCTAAATATTTCGTGTATCTATATGAGTTCATAGGGTGAGATCCGAGAAATAACTCATTTTGTCAGCCCCCCCCCCCTTTTCTTTCACTCTGACATTTCTGCTGTCTCTCTATCACTATCAGTATTCTGCTTGCTGCCTGCTCAAGTCTCGAGTTGGGCTGTGCCGATGACGAATTCCTCTCTACTGTTTTATTATCACACCGAGCTACAAAACTACAGCCAGCATTACTATAGTGAGGATCTAGCTTCGATAGCCAGCGAAATTTTCGGTGTTGAGGGCAATTTTTCAATCAATACGTGTACTGGTAGGCTACTTAGCTACAGTCGAGATTGTTCAAGATGGACAACTATATGTGGGAGAGAAAAGTGGTTGTCTTAGGCAGGTGAGTGTCTTAGGAAAGAGGTTGTCTTAGACAAGTGAGTGTCTTAGGAAAGTGGTTGTCTTAGGCTGGTGAGTGTCTTAGGAAAGAGGTTGTCTTAGACAGGTGAGTGTCTTAGGAAAGTGGTTGTCTTAGGCAGGTGAGTGTCTTAGGAAAGTGGTTGTCTTAGGCTGGTGAGTGTCTTAGGAAAGAGGTTGTCTTAGACAGGTGAGTGTCTTAGGAAAGTGGTTGTCTTAGACAGGTGAGTGTCTTAGGAAAGTGGTTGTCTTAGACAGGTAAGTGTTTTAGACTGGGGAGCTGTTTAGACCGGTGAGTGTCTTAGGCAGCTGAGTGTCTTAGGCAGGTGAATGTCTTAGAAAAGTGGTTGTCTTAGACAGGTGAGTGTCTTAGAAAAGTGGTTGTCTTAGACAGGTGAGTGTCTTAGAAAAGTGGTTGTCTTAGACAGGTGAGTGTCTTGTACAGGTGGCGTTAGAGCAGGTTAGGCGATAACAGAAAAAAAGGATAATAAGCTAATAATAGTATCAATATCACGTCGTTGTTTTTGGCACTTGCTGACCCCCTTAACGGGGTTAATGCCACTCTCCTAAATCTGAATAACACAAGGGTTGTTTTTGGAGGGAGGGGGGGGGGTTCTCCTTTCACTGAGATATTTTTGTTCCTTCTCGTGTCCTTATGGGGGGGGGGGGGGGGGTCTCCTTTCACTGAGATATTTTTATTCCTTCTCGTGTCGTTGATGGAGGGGGGGGGGGGGGGGTCTCCTTTCACTGAGATATTTTTATTCCTTCTCGTGTCCCTGATACCCTTGCCAAGGAGTGGCGATGTTTTCTTTTCACCAAGACCAGACTGTGGCTGTGGATCCTTAACTGGTACAAGGCAAAAATTCCAGACTTGAATAAATCCATAGACTAGATCTAATTCTATAATTGTGAGGCAGCGTGGTGGAATCAGGCTCTTGTCAATTTTTGGGCAAGTAGAGTTATTAGTATCATCTTAATGCTTGTTCACTTGTCTTTATTTGGATGCAAAAATATATCCATTTATCTTGAATACAAGTCGAGATATTTGCAAAAGAAGGAGGTGGGGGTCACCTGTTTTCAGAGGTAAAATTAGTGAGAAAATGGCCGCCAAAGATTAGTTATTTCCTTAGCTTAAGAGTCCGTGGCAACTGAAAATTTACATTTTTTAAAATACCTTTAATCAGCGTTTTTCAGAAAAAAACCCACACGGAAAAGAGTTTTTTAATGGGCATAAAAGGTGTTGGGCAAAAAACAAAAAATTGATAAAAATTCACAAACCTGCGGAAAAATGCAAGTTTCTTCATTTTGATTATCTTGACGAGAGCCTGATTCCACCACGCTGCCTCACAATTATAGCCCTAGACATAGCACGGTCATGGCCGCCATTCTTTGCTCTCGGCCAAAACTTGGCTGCGTTGGTGCGCACCGTGGACGCGCAAAGGAATGTTTGTTTGTTTGTTTGCTTGTTTTAATAAGTGTTTTACGGCGCTCGCAACTGCATAATGTCATAATATGAGCGCGCGGAACACACCAAACATTTTCAGTTGGTAGGAAATTTTGAATTTTGCCCGGGTGGCGGCCGAAGCCTACTCATTGATTTTAGACCACAAAGGGATCTTTAACGTGCATAACTTGCTCACGGGCCCTCCGAGATTTTTCGCCCTTGTC